CGGTCCTGGGCTGGGACCCTGGAGGCCTGAGTTTTCTGGGGGTCTAACAAATGGACTTTAATAGCACACACTGGTGTTTTCAAGTCCTTAGCTCTAATGGTACATTCTGAAGCCCCTAAGTTATGGACCCCTCTGGGGAATGCATAAATGAATGTGTCCCCCACAGTGAAACAATGCTTAGGGACACCTCCAAATCAGGGCGCTCTCCACCTCTGGAAAGCAGCGAACACAGTGCTTGTCAAGCTAGACACACTGCTGTGTTGGTTTCTCTCCTTCCCTCTCTTCCTCCCTCTGTGCCTGGAAGCTGAGGCTAAAACCCAGGACTTTACCACATGTTAGGAAAACATTCAACCACTGAGCTACATCCCTAGACTTTCTGCTTTTGAGACAGGGCCTCACTATGTAGCTCAGACTAAACTCATTTGTATAGGCAGGACAGCTGACAACTTTGAATTCTCCTGCCTTGGCCTCCTAAAAGTGAGGCCTTACAGCACCAAGCCCAGCTTGGTTTTCTTTGGATAAATTTGTTCATTCATCAAATACTGAGAGGGCTTCTATCCCATTCCAGCCACTGCTGGAAAATAGGAACACAATACTATCTTCTCCTCTCACTAAGGAAATCAGGACATGAGACGGTAGGAAGTAAATAACTGGGGTGATTTACGCCAGGGAATGTGTTGTCCTGAAGGCATGAGACAAGATAGCATGAAATGATGTGTCTAGGGTGAGGGGACCCAGAGTCAGCACAGGAAGGAAGAGCTTCTGTGATACAGTACATAACAATGGAGCTGAACCCTGGATGACAGGGGGTGCGGAGGGAGAGATGATCCCAGGAGGAGGATAGAGCAGATCACAGGCTTGGAGGCACTAGTTACATCACTAAGAAGAGATAAGAGTTAAGGTCCTGGAGCCAGACAGGCCTGGATTTAAATTCCACCTCTGCTATTGACTAGCTGTGTGTCGTGGATCAACTTCATATTCCTGTCTACCACTGAGCCAGTTAATAACATCATCATGACAGCCATCATGGGAAGCACATAGATCAGTGCCTAACACAGAATGAGTTAGCAGCAGCATCAGTGGAGAAGAACCCAGATCTGTCCAAAGAGGAATGATGCACCCGTTCAGCATTTTTTTTTTTAATTTATTTACATCATGGGGATGCTTGGTACCTGTAAAATAATCATGTCTGGCCGATACTGTTTCCGAAGACCCATGTCAAACATCAGGAACTTGAGCATCTTGAAAGCCTCTTCCTCACTCATATGAAGAAGCAAAATGCCTGCCACAAAGCTGAGACCTTGGCAGTATCCTACTTCCTGGTCCAGAAGCGAGTAGGCCTTCAGGATGTTGTAAAGTGACAGCTGGCCTGCTCCAAGCTGGGCAGAGAAGTATGGATGCGTTGGAAAGGTTCGCCCTGGGAAAAGAACACAGGTCAGGTGGAGCATACAAGAGGCCCACAGAATCAGAGAAGCAGCATGCTGCTGGTCAAGGGAATAAGACCTTTAGGTCATAACATCAGTGTCTCAATGTGGTCAGCTGATGGGTCCTAGGATAACATTTGCAACAAAAACATAGCAAATTATCAAGTTCTGTTGTTATATTTAGTATATTTGTTTTTGAGACTGGGTCTCAAGTTTGTAGCTCTGGCTGGCCTGTAACTTGCTGTGTAGACCAGGCTACTCAAAGACAGCAGCCCGGCTTCTCCCTCCCAGATGCTGGAATTAAAAGTGTGCACCATCTTGCCCAGTGAGTGGTGTTAGGTAAAATAAATTATAATTACCTTTAGTCTAGTTAATATCTGTGTTTCAATCAAAAACAAGAAAGCCACTGGTTCTGACAATAGAGTCTCAGTGTTTTCTAGAAATTGACCCTAGCCCATGTTATTCAAAAGCTGTGACAGATCCTTCCCACAAGCTTTTCCAGACCATGAGTTCTGCCCACAAGTGGGTCTCACCACAGGACTCTTCTAAATCATGGGCTGAGATCTGAGACAGGCCAAGGGATAGTAGGCATTTTCCTTTACACAAAACAGTGACACTATGGAAAGAGGATAAAAATGGGTTTTAAAAATCATGATTATTTCCACAAAGTTACTACCAAAATAAAAAAGACATGGGCCAGTGAGAGGGCTCACGGGGCCTTTTTCTTTTTCTCTTATTCTTTTTTTGGGGGAGGGGGGGTTCTAGACAGGGCACCTCTGTGTAACAGCTCTGGGTGTCCTGGAACTGGCTCTATAGACCAGGCTGGTCTTGAACTCACAGAAATCTACCTGCTGCTGCTGCCTCCCAAATGCTGGGATTAAAGGCATGCGCCACCATGCCCAGTGGCTCACTGGGTCTTGTCATCAAGCTAACAATCTGAGTGTGATATCCAGGACTCACATGGTAGAAGAAAACTAACTCCTACAAGCTGTCCTCTAACCAACATGTGTGTTACAGCACAAATGTGTGCACAGACACAGACACAATCAATAAAATTAACATGAACAAAAGTTTAAAAGGTGGCACTACTTCTCTTTTCTTTTTTTTCTTGTTTTGCCTTTTTTCATTCAGGAGGCTTTTATTGCTGATAGCTGCCAAATCCCCTTGTGACATCCTGGTGACAGATGAAGAGAGTTTCTAAAGAACAGGAAAGTGACTAGAAAGTGCCACATTAAAAAGTTACAGAGGTGCATGGGACCAGCATAGACACAGGTGAGAACCATGGTCTGGCTGGTCATCAAAGGCAGCAAGTACATCTGGGCCACAGCAACTGCTAGCCATGGTTACCGGACAGCATCGGCAGAGTAGAGGATATGTACAGTCGCCCTACTGTTAGGGAGAAGTAAGCAGCAGTGCACACAAAAACACCCTCCATTAATCTGGAGATAGGCACACTCATTTCCCACTCCCAGATTTGTCCTTCAGGCTGGGTGAGGCCTCTGAGTGAGGCTTCCTGGAATCTCTAAGCCCTTGTTTCGCTATGTACAGCACTGAATGTGTGGACATGAACAGAATAGGCAAGGCACTTTTGTTAAGCTCTTGGCTATGATGCAGGATATAAAGAGAACTTAACACCACCTAGCTGCCATATTGAAAAGTTACAAGTGGGGCCAACAAGATGGCTCAATGGGTAGGCAAGCCTGATGACCTAAGGAATCCACGCATGGGTGGAAAGAGACAACTGACTTGACAAAGCTGTCCTCAGATCTCCACACATGCATCATGGCACACCTAGCCACACATACACAACACGTGCATACACAATCATTTTTGTTTTTAAAGTTACAGGTTGAATTAATTTGAATACGATGTTTTGTTTAACATATACAATATTTTCAACACAGTATGTAACCAATACGAAAACATCAAGGCATTTTGCCCTCTCTTTTCATGTCGATGAAGTCCAGCGGGTTCTTTTGAATGACAGCACACCTTCACTTGGGCTTATCACATTTCAAGGACTCAGCAGCCACTTTCAGACGGCTTCTGTACTAAATAGGCCAAGAGTATTGTTTCCTTGGATTATCAAAGGCAGGCAGCATCCCCCTCACTCTGTTCCCTCACTGGTTCCCAGGCAGACTGGAGCACACCCTGCCCGACAGTCCCTTCCAGCATGAATATTCCTCTTCCCTATGAAAAAATATTTACTTTTTTATTAGGTGAGTCAAAGGTATGCACATCTTACATGTGACAGTCAGAGGACAACCTGGAGGAGCCAGTCCTCTCTTCTAACCTTGTAGGTCTGGCACAAAACTGGGGTTTGTGAGGCTTGGAGGCAAGCTGAGCCATCTCACCATCTCACTAGTTGCCCTTCTTCTAGCCCCATGCTTCTCAATTACAGCCAGAGGATCCTGGGAGTCTATTTAGAGTTTGTGAGGTCCACCTCCCTTTTTTCAACTACAGATCCATATAATGTCAGCCTTTCCTTTGTTTACTTAAAAGAATATAACTATAACAGGCTAAATAAAGGTAACATAATAATACAGTTGACTCTATTAAGTAAGCTACGAAAGAGGTTTTAAAAACTATAACACAATGTCATATTCATCACTCATTTTATTTTGGAAAATATCTGTTTTTCACTGTATATTTATATGGTGAGTTTCTTACAGTTATTTTAAAATAAAAACTTAAGTATTTTTAATTTTGTCAGTTTTAATTTCCAATGCAGTAAAAATTAACACCACATTTTCCATATAAGCCAAAGCTCTTTGGACTACTTGGTTTTAAAAGGGAAAGGGATCCCAACCTCCCAAGTTAGGCAACACTTGTTCCAGGCAAACAGTTTAACCACCTTCTTGGCTGCAAATCCAGACAAGAGGGGAAGACAGGCTACTTCAAAGAGAATGGACAACTTGGATTAAAAATGTTTCCTAGACAAGCCACTCCTGTGAAGCCAGTGCTAGTGTGGCAGCCCTCCAGTCAGTCACAAGGCATTACAGCAGCCCCTGGAAGGAAGGGGAGGCACACCTCATCAGGCCATCAGGCCTTATGAAAGTCACTAATGCAGCTCCTGGGCCTTGTGTGATGTATGTCCGAGGGCATCATCAACCTGATATACCTCACTGCTCACTCAGAGCTGGTGACTCCAGGTAAAACACTGTCAGCTGCTTGCTGTTCGTGCAAACTTTGGGAATAACACAACCAAAGTCCAGGGCTAAGTGTCTCTTGCAACAAGCCTGGCAGAACAACCCTAGGTATACCACTGGCTCTAGAGGACCCTGGCAGAGAAGGGTTAAGTAGAAACTGAGGAGTCCTTGCACAAACCCATTGGAATAAAGAGACAGCCTTCTCTAGTAAACTACACGTTATAATTTACCATGAGAGCTGGTAGGGAATTACAGGTCCTTCCAATCTCTGCTAAAGGAGACCTCGTAGGCTACCTTCATAGATCAAAAGCGATTATTTAATGGAAACTGTCAAATGGGTGGTACAAAGAAACTTCTATGGGCTGTGGAGTGGCGTAGTGGGTAAGAACACTGGCAGCATGAACACAGAAAACAGAGTTCAACCCCCCCAGAATCTATATAAGAAGCTGGAAGTGGCCATGAACATGCCTGTAATGCCAGCACTGTGGGTGGGTGGAGACAGGAGAGTTGCTGGGCTTGTTGGCCACCAGCTTAGCCCCAGATTCAGAGACAGACACCCGTGTCAAAGGCTTACTGTACCCTTCAGTAAGGTGGAAAGTGACAAAGCAAGACACCAGATTTGGGCTCTGTGTGTGCCCTCCCAGTCAAATGCGCTTCCTATAGTGTGTGGCACATCTATGTGCCATAAAGCCCTTTTGCAATTGAAGCGGGTGGCACTGTTTGAGCTCTGTCCTAAGTACCTACGTTTCCAGAAGCACCAGAGTGAGCACAACTGCTAGGACTAACTCCTGGGGGCTCTGCATGCGAGCACCTGTGCCAACCTGCCACCTAGGATTTCTGGTTGGCAGCTTAAACCCTTGACTCTGTCTTGACTCTGGAAACTAAACACCAGAGGTCTTCTGAGGTGTTGGGAGGTGCCAACCTGCCACCTAGGATTTCTGGTTGGCAGCTTAAACCCGGGAAATGGCAGCAGTCTTGACTCTGGAAACTAAACACCAGAGGTCTTCTGAGGTGTTGGGAGGAGATGGATGCCAAGCAGCTGCTGGCAGAGCACTGGCTGACTAGGAGGGTGTGGGACGGAAGGAAGTGGCACTCCACTGTACTCACTCTGTCACTCACACTTTGCTTTATCACTGTCAGGTTACAGGCTGTCTTGGCTGCTTTTGCTGTTGCCGTGATAAAATACTCTGACAAAAGCAACTTGAGAGGGAGGATTTGAGTTCACAGCTGAGGGAAGTCAAGGCAGCAGGCGCTGGAAGCAGCTGGTCACATCATGTCCAAAGTCAGAAAGGAGCAGTGAGTGCATGCATGCTAGGGTTTAGCTTGCCTTCTGTTTTTCACACACATCCCCTGCCCAGGGAGTGTCCTCGCTGCTCACAATTTAGACAGATAGTCATAATCAAGACAATTCCCCCCAGGCATGCCCGGAGGCTGGTCTCCCAGGTGATTCCAGAGTCTTGTCAAGTTGACAACTGACACTGTCACACAGGGCGTATTCAGAATGACCAAACAAAGTGACTTCATGTTGAGATCTTGATAATATCAGAAGCACACACTTTGTCAAATAATTTGAGACGCTGTTGGTGCAGGAATCTATTAGACTCTGGAACTGTGATGTTTAACTGACTTCTCCAGAGTCCAGTCTCATACTGGCTAGCGTGGCCACATGCCAAATTCTAGGCATGTTTCTGTCTTTTGCCATCAAGGTTCTTACTGTACCCTTCAGTTAGCAATGAAGGCCTACTCATCTTTCATGAATCTTTGAAAAAGCAGAGTAATTTTTTTCTCAGGTTTGCAGCCTCTGGTTAAAACACATTAAGCGGAAAGAGAACCCATGACAGTACCTAGCCTGACCCTGAGCCTGAGTGACTCTTCTGGGCATGTGCTCTGCCTGTCTCCACCAGCTCAGGCAACCCTGGCACACCAGGCTTTCATGGGAGAAGCATCTCTAAGAAATCCATCAACAGCATTTCTGAGAGCAGAAACAGAGGCACACCTGTAATTGATGCAATGGGGATGCAGGCAGGGGGACTTTGGGCTTGGACCACATAGTGAGAACAGACCACATAAAAGAACAGCAAAGCTACTGCAGCACACTGAGAGAGAGACTCATGGCACCCTCAGAGTCTGCACGGTGCCACAACTTCACACATGGTAACAAGCCATAATAACAAGACAACAAGGAGATGATGATACAGGGAGGGGAGGGGCAGTTCCAACTCCTGCTCTGACATAATGACCTTTCTGTGTCTCTGGTCTAGATGGTGTTCTTCCTAACAAGTCCTTCCCATCACAGGAGAGGCTGCAGAGTCACCTGGTAGAGACAGATAACTGCTGGTAAGCTAGGATGGATACCAAGGAGGATGTCTGGGACTCCCCAGCAAGAGTCGGAAGTGAGGAGCCCAGACAGAAGGCACTCCATGCTATCCACCCAGGATGGAGAGTCACAGGGCCAAGAGGAGAAAGGCTATAGGCCTCAGGAAGTCGGGCCAGCAGATGGGGCTGGAGCCAGGGTGAAGACACATGGTACCTGCCAAGCCTGGTAGCAGCTTTCTCCTGGTGGGTTGTGGTCTGTGCTGAAGGAAAGGCAGGGGCAACATGTAAGGAAGTGGTCAGCAGAATCAGAAAGACAGGCCATGAGGTGCAAAGATGAAGGAGCTCTGCACAGAGCCCGGCAAGGCACTTCCTCCAGCTCTTGGGCCTCGGGTATCACTTCCATAGTAAGCAACTGCACGGTCCACACAGGGCCGGCTAAAGACTAAGTCAGGTCACACTTGAAATCACATTTCATAAACTAGAGAACACAAGCAAACTATAAGGTTGACTATTTTTACTCTTTGAAGGAACAAATCTTCAAAAAAGCTGTTTAAGCAAAAGGCCAATTTCATAAAATAAAGCAAAAGACAGGAAAACAAATCCATGAAAAGCAAAAATATTTCCCATCAATGGCGCTTTTTCTTCCAGCTGCTATAGGAAAGCCACTTTGAAAGAAATGGAATCTGATGCCACTCTACAGTACACACTTTTCCTGGGCCCAGAGTCTGCCACTGTATATACAAAATACACAGAATAGACAAAATATACAGCTGGTGGTGTGAGTTGAGGCCTGTCATGGCCAGAGCTGGGGGCCTTCTGTGACAGGCCTTCTTTATGTCAACTCCCAGCAGAGCTGGAGCCTTGCAGAAGGGCACCCAGATTCCACCACTGGGTCTGGGCCAGCAACCAGGGTTTCTGGTTCACACAGGGACAAGAGCTAATGTTAGCAGGGTCGCTGGATAAGTCTTAGGAGCCCTGTGGAGGTAACTTGGGACATGGATCACTGCAAATAGAGGTTCTTCAGGCCCTTGGGAGGACGTCTGGAGGTCATCCAAAGTGGAGACCAGGCGAGCACTGGGCCAGAGGTGGCTAAAGAGAAGGGTCAGCACAGTGGGGGTTAGGTGCCGCTGGCCTTGGGAGTAGAAATGAGAAGGTGGGGTGGAGCAGGGGTAGGGAGGATGTGAATCAGGCCTTGTTCTCTAGGCGAGAGGCCACTGAGCTGGGGCTCACATAAATACTACTTCCTAGGGAGAGGCCTGGCTGGTGGGGCGGGGGTGGGGCACATGGCTAATCTGGGCTTTACTTTCTTTCTGCAGAAAAGTTATGACATTCAAGCAGTCTGAGGCAGAGGGCTAACCATGCCCAGGAAGAGTAAGAGCAATGCAGACAGGAAGCCAAAGGAACAAAATGCAAAACAAGGAGAGAAATCTCTCCCTCATTTCCTCTCCTCCTCTCAAGCTATGGAGGAGTGAAGAAGGAAGGAAGGAGGTGGCGGTCTACGCACTCCCTGTCACACTCCTACCCCCACTTGGGTTTTCAGCTCACTTCACGTGACAGGAACATGATGTCACTATTTCTGTTATTTATCTGCCATTGTACAAACAGCCATCCATCCTCAGGGTCACCAGGACAAATGGGCTTTGGCTGGAGGCCTGCCATGCTCGTCAGCATCATCCTTCACCTGCCCCGCACTCACCCACAC